TTGCATTGTTTCTTTTTATCTGAATAGTTATAAATTTCGGAGACAATGCAGTCTTTGTGCTGGGCTGTGTTTTCAGGGCCAATAAATTTCCGTTACCCTCTTGAAAGTTCCCAACCCCTTGAGCGTCCGTTGACACTCCGTCTTGACACACAAACGTCCTTTTTTCCCAAGAGCGTATCAGTTGGGATGCACTTCTCAAGTCAGGATTTTGAAATGAATGTCAAGGACGCGTTTATAGAAAACACGTAGATGTGTTCGCAACGAAACAATTTTCTTTCTGCTTCACAATCTTATATCTTTTAAAATTACGGTTTTTGTAAAACGATAAGAAATAAAGGGAAAAGTCTTGAGTAAGAGAGCTTCTTCTTCTTCTTCTTCTTTTTCTTCTTCTTCTTCTTCTTCTTCTTCTTCTTCTTCTTCTTCTTCTTCTTCTTCTTCTTTTTCTTCTTGTGTTTGCTTTCTTATTTTCACTGACAGGCAAGTTCTTGTGATAAACTGTATTGTTTTTAGGAGTTTCTTTTTTCCGTTTCATACTTCTATCAGCGCTATGTTTGGCAATTGGGCAAGTATTCCCTTCTTAATGGGCTATACAAGGGTAGTATTAGTAGAACGCATTACCCCACTAGGACATCACACAAGCGATTCATACCCGATGATACAAAGTGCGACCATGTGGATGAGGATCACCTGTGGAGAGGTTCCAGAAACCGCTTTCAGCCATTAGACCATATTAATGGCCGGGCTATATTGCGGCCCCTGGCAAGAGCAGAGTGGGGCTTCAAAATAACGAAAAATTGCATCCCACAATGGGATGGCTAGTGAATAACAATATGCAAGGGACATTATGGCAGGAGATATTCTGTAGTCTGCACACACAGCCCACAAGGGCACAATGATGAGCTACTTGGATGAAGCGGGTGCATATGTGTTTGTTATGTCCTGTCTTGAGGCGTCGAATAATGACCTGTCCTTGCCGGTCAAGTAGGTGGCGGTCATCTTTGACCAGACTCAGTTATGAGACTGGATAGCCCTTTTCTTCTCATAGTATGTTACTGCATTCTATTCCTGTTCACATTCTGCCCCTATCTTAACAAGTTCATCCTCGGTTTTGTTTCCTGGTATAACAAAATGGGATGGCACCCACTAGAGTACAAAACACTTTTGGGCAGCCACCTTGTTAAGTTCGGATCTTAGGTGGGGAAGATTACAACTCTGGAGTGATTAGAGCACCGACAGCTCATCTGTGAATATGACCACTTGGTGGCAGTCAGAACTGGTGTTGCGTAACATTTCGGCAGCCTGCTCTAATGCTAGGATCTCTGCTGTGTAGTTGGAACAGAATTTACCAGTGAGTATATGTATATACTTTATGTGGCTGTGGCTGTCTTGGTATTTGATAAAGACGCCAGCACTCCCATTTTTAACCGCACTGGTTGCTGATCCATCTGTGTAAGCAGGCAAGAGAGCAAGATGTAGACAACGTTACACGTGGGAGGACAATATCAAGAGAGGAACAAACAAGACTCTGAGAGAGTGTACAACCAGGTTAAGAGACAGAGAGTGGTGGAGATCTACTGAAGCCAACCTTCAGTGCAAAAACGGCACCTGATTGAATGGTTGATTGATTGATTGATTGAGGAAGTGAGTGATTAGGATATAGTAAAGACGACAGATGCAATGTCCAGTGGGTGGCGTTTGTCGAACTAAATGTTTAGCAAACTTTGAATGCTGCAGACAAGAAATGCATTCACTAAACTTTAAACAGTTTTAAAATGGCTTCCACAAACAATACTAGAACGAACGAACAAACCTTATTTACACAAGGTTAAAAATTGGGTGAGTAGATCACACTAACGTTCTTTCCATATGGCCTTACCCTTTTCATGCATCATTTTCTTAATACATCTTCAAATAGATAATACATAAATATCATCGACAACTATTAAATATACTAACCAACGCAAATAATGTGCTGTAATTATGCCAGTATTATAGTCCGCGAAACTAATTCTTTTGTTTAGCGGATCGCGGGTGTCAACAATGTTGAAGAATACTGGTCTGGGCCAGCTCCTCTCCGACGACCACCCTTCCCCCCCCCCCCCCCCCCCCCCAACCCGCGGCCAACTGGTGAGCAGCTGGGAAGTCTATGTCGGGCGACAACATTTCTGCCGAAACCTAATCATGTTAGGTGGTAGGGTTAGGTCAGGGTTAGGCAGTTTTTCTCTTCCACGACTGCAGTCTGTAGGACCAACACTTCAGGGTTGAGAATCATTCAGGTACAAGTTATATCCATCAAAATGAGGCAACTTTTAGATTAATCACGTCTTCTTGGAAGAAATAAAATCAAGCATATTTGATTATCGGAAGTCACCGTGGCATAGCGGCTAGACGCTCGCCTGCGGATCGGAAATTCGTGGGTTCGCTCCCTGGCGAAGCTAGACTTTTTTCAAAAATGACCTAGACACCCAGGTCGACCCAGCCACGGCCATCTTTAGATATAAATAGGCCAACTGGGTCAACGGGGATTCCCGTTCTTGTGCAAGAATTGAGTCCTTCTGTGTTAATAGTTTTTATCGAAGAGATGTATACACAAATTAAACTACAGTTTAATTAATTTTCGACATATTTTTGAGAACTATACGTCATTTTAAAGGTAAATAAGTGTGCTGAATAAATATAACAATAAAGGCTCTTACAGATTAACAAAAATGCTTTTGCTACAGTTAACATGAACATAAACTCAATAACGTTAAGATGTAAACTGAAAGTTGTTCCAGCAAAAGCAAAGAAATATCTGTGCTTACTCTTTGATTCTGAGAGGGTATTGTTGCGTCAGATGAGGTGGGGGGGGGGGAGAGAAGGAGAGGGGAGGGGTGACATTTGTACTTTATCAAATTTAGCGCATAAAAATACTGCTATGAAACATACACATATCATACATAACATAAATATAAAAATTCATGGTTATTATTATTATTATTAGTAGACTACTACAACATATAATTATACTGTTATTTAATAATAAGTAAACAAGCACAATCAGTATGAAATTGATATGTGCAATAATTTTTTCACCCAGAGTAGTTTTCTTAACAGTATTTATAGCACTACTAAATATGTATCCTCAAGGTACAAGCAGCACAAACAAATTTGTCCAGTTTCATCTTGTTAGATGAAATCAATTCCTTACCATTGCAAATTTTTTGGTAACAAATATGCATAGGAAGTGGATGAACAACCAGAAGTTTCCGCAAGAGTTTACAGCCAGTGTTCGCGAAGCAAAGCAAAAGCCAGTTTACAAAAATTAACAGACCGTACAACTGCAAATATGCAAAAGAAGTCGATTAACTACCAGAAGTTTCCGCAAGAGTTTATAGCCAGTGTTCACGAAGCAAAGCAAAAGCCAGTTTACAAAAAATGAACACAGGCCGTACAACTGCAAATATGCAAAAGAAGTCGATGAGCAACCAGAAGTTTCCGCAAGAGTTTACAGCCAATGTTTGCGAAGCAAAGCAAAAGCCAGTTAACAAAAGATTAACAGGCCGTAAAACTACAAATATGCAAAAGAAGTCAATGAGCAACCAGATGTTTCCGCAAGAGTTTACAGTCAGTGTTCGCGAAGCAAAGCAAAAGCCAGTTTAAAAAAAAAATTAACAGACCGTACAACTACAAATATGCAAAAGAAGTCAATGAGCAACCAGAAGTTTCCGCAAGAGTTTACAGTCAGTGTTCGCGAAGCATAAGTCAAATGGTTCAGGATTAATATTATTAGTGTACTGCTACAACATATAATTATACTGTTAGTCAACAATTAGTAAAGAGGCAAAGAGTGACTTGCTGTGAGAGGTTAGTTAGTAAATTAAATATTATTTTCATCCACTTGACTTACCTAGAGCTCCGAAATATCTTGGCACAATTTATCCACAGTGTGGTTGCACCATTTATGCACAGTCAATATGAAAGCAAGTTTTCTTCCAACACAAGATACTTTGCACCTGACAACTGTCGATGTTCTCCAGATATGACTTCTAAATTACCTGTATGTTTTATCCCTAAAAGTAGGATTTGTACATTTAAAGTAGAAAAGTAATAAACAGCCAGTTCCCAAAAATCCGAACTACTGACTAGAAACAGTGACACACACATCACAACACGACTGTCTTCCGTGAATTAAAATCAAAATTAAAATTGCTGTATATCCACTTTGCAATATCCGCTTGTAGATTTGTAATACGAATACGTTTAGAACACAGGACTTTGTATGTAAACATATTAAGATGTCACACAATGCAACATGGAAACGATGCCAGTAACCTATTTTCGACGGGGACTCCCCGAAAATGTACCGTGGTTCAGTTAGCAGGACTGAAAGATACAGATGGGCGTGACCCAGCCTTGAGTGTGTACCAGGTGCAGTCCTGGGAAGTAAAGGCAGCCGGCGTGATACTGATCGCATTATCAACCTTGTGCCGTTGGTCTATAAAATATAGGTCTAGCCCTATATACCCAATACGCCAGAAATGCGTGGAGAAGGGTCCTTTCTCGGGTGCGATCAGAAATGACGATATCAGGAAAGAAACAATTAGGCCTGTTTTTAGTTGCGCCCCGGTTGTAAAATATTTGGGAAACACTGCTTTCAGTGGGAATCTAAGCTGTAACGAGATCATTATCAAATAGTTTCCGGTGAGATCAGAAATAACCGTTATCAGGAAAGAGCTCTAGGATTCGCTTTAGTATCAGATACTTCATTTCTGTTGTTTCAGTTTTGTTGTTGTTGATGTTTTTGTTAATGTCCAATTTTGGCACTGGTAAAACAATGTTGCTATAATACCGTCCTGAAAACTGCTTGCTCTTTTGGTGCCAGTTGTTTCATGTTTGTTTTTGCACAATTTGTGACACATGTACCGTAATCTGTCTATGATTGAGTACATGTATTTTCTGTATCACTTATTCCACTTTCTTTGCTGCTTCCAGATGCTGTCCAGTGCTCGCAGTGCAACATGCGACACCGGGGTATCGCAAACACTTGCCTGGCCCCGAGGAACATGTCCAACTGTATGGGATGCATGAAGACCGTCACTAAGGTCAAAATCCGAGACTCCGGCTACATGACCGGCTGGGAGAGAAGTCAGTGTAGTTGTTGCTGTTTTTAGTAGTTAAATTTAGTATATATTTAGGGAGACCATCATATTTTTGAGCTAAGAACGGAACACCTCACTAATATTTTGAGCTGAAAACGTAACATCTCACTAATATTTTGAGCTGAAAAGAGAACATCTCACTAATATTTTGAGCTGAAAACGGGACATCTCACTAATATTTTGAGCTGAAAACGGGACATCTCACTAATATTTTGAGCTGAAAACGGGACATCTCACTA